ATTAAAAATGCGTTTAAAACACCAAGTCCCAGGTCCCGCTCCATTTACTCCCTTCCGTCTCTTCTTCCTGCATTTCTCGTCGTGCTCATTTATTCAACAGACATTAACACGCACCTACTACGTGCCCCCTGCCCACTGTGTGCAGCCTGCTACAGAAATAAAATTCCCTAACCTCAAGTTAGAACTCTTAATGCCTGTGGCCAATTTTATCGAGTCCTACCGGCTGTCAAAATGTCTCTCGACTCCACTCGCTCTCCCCCAACCTTCTGCCCCTGGCTTAATTCCTCATCCATCACCTGGACTACTCCTCAAGGGTCTTCCTCCCTACTTCCAGTTCCTCAGTCCTATCCCATCAAAGTCTGGTGTCCCTCCTTTGTTTAAAAAATTCTTCACGAGGCCCTCATTGCCTCTAGAACAGCTTTCAAAGAGCACACGAGGTTCTTCCCAATCTGGCCCCAACCACTTTCAATCTCATGTTGTGCAACCACACTGTCTCCACACACGTCAACCAAAGTGAGATATTCCCACCTCCTGAGCCTTCCTGCCTCTCTGCCTTTACACTCTCTCTTCCCCTGGCTGGCCTCTTCCCTCCTCGCGGACTCCAGCTTCAGTGCCAGCGAAGGCTTCCCCCAGCCCTGCTCCCCCACGGTACGCCAGCAGCCGCCGCCTCTGTGCCCTGGAGCCGCTTGGACACTCTCTTCGCTCGAGTACTGACCGTGTCAAAGGTCCACATCGGTCCCACCCGAGGGCAGCGGCTAGCTTACCTCTGTCATCCTCAGCTCTAGCATCAAGCCAGGCATGTAGGAGTCACTCAGACATTAAGGAAAGAACTACCAGACAGTAATTGTAAAGTAACAGGAATCAAGTTTGGAATGGTTCAGAAACAACTCGTTACAGACTGCAGAAAAGCTCAGCAACAGTAACAACAGCAAGCCACTCTAGGCCGTGCGGCAGAATCGTGACGAAAGCAGTATTCTGAGAAAATCCATAGGTTAGCATTTAAACTGAAGAGAAGGAGAAGGAGTAAAGATGTAAAGACAGATCAGTGAGGAAGTCACTACAGAATTCAGGCAGAAGATGTGGGGCCTGCCAAAAGTGTGGCAGCACTAAGAACACAGAGGGAAAGACAGAGGAGTAAAGGAGAGGTGTTTAAAAAACAAAACAAAACACCAACAGGACCAACAATGGTAATGAAGGACAGAAGAAGGACAAACAGGGAGAAAACCCTGGAAGGGCATTATCTGGAGAGAGAAGGATCGATTTAGCACCAATGTGATGAAATACCAGAAGGCAACGTTCTGGGACCAAGATCTAGGTGACAGGCTGAGCTGATAGTTGACAGATCTTCAACCCTGTTCGCCAAGTCTGCTTGTTCTAACCAAGTGCACAGCATGCATTTACCTCTTTGCTCGCTCCAGATCATCGTTGGCCTGCTCCAGCTCTCTCACATACTTATGCAACTGCTCCTTAATGGCCCGAGTCTGACTTAAATCATCTTCTAATACCGACACCTGCTTGTAGCTCTGTGCATACTGATGTTCTAGTTTCTCCTGAAGGCATGGGTATAGGAAGGAAAGTGTGTGTGATTAATATAGAGTTGTCCTTAGCAAAGGAAGTAACCCAAACTATGAGGGCAGGGATCCAAGGAAATTACCCGCAATCTGAGGTGATGGTACTCCTCTCCTCCTTACAATATTAAAAAAAAAAAAAA